ATCATTTTTTAATTACTTTTAATGCATCTTTTAGAATAAAGATAGATGCACTATATAAACCTATGGTTAAAAAATTGATCATTATGATTATTGATGCTTTAAGATGGGATTTTATAACAGGATCAATTGGAAAGATTGCAATGCCTGTAACAAGTAGTCTCATAGGAAATTCTTCAGTTTCTTTGTTAAAAACTAAAGTACATTCACCAACTGTTACAATGCCTAGAATAAAGGTGTTAGATTTTTAATAAAAATTTTATATATATTTTATATTTAAAAATTAGAAAAATATAAAGAAAATATTTTATATAACTTAGGCAATTACTACTGGTATGATACCAAGTTTTATTGATATAGCTTTAAACTTTGGAAGTAAACCAGTTACTGGTGATAGTATATTTTTTCAAGCAAAACAAGCTGGTTATAAATCAATATTTTATGGAGATGATACTTGGATTACATTATTTCCTTTTATATTTGACCGTTATGATGGTACCACATCATTTTTTGTAACAGATTTTACTGAGGTATTTTTTAATTCTTCATTAAATCTTTATATATATTTAATACTATATAATTAAATATAATAATTTTAATTTAATTAATAAAGGTTGATAACAATGTAACTAGGCACATACATAAAGAATTATATAATAATAATGATTGGTCTATAATGGTTCTTCATTACTTAGGACTTGATCATATTGGTCATGTTTATGGACCATTTAATCCATTAATTAAAACAAAACTTAAAGAAATGGATAATGTAATAGCAAAAATTCAGTTTAAAGTTCAAGAATGGGTAGGTGTAATATAACATGAAATATTTTAAATATAATATAATTTAGTAAAATTATCAAACATATAGAAATTATAATTTATTATCTATATTTATAAAAATTTAGTATAAATTTATTATCTTTAGAATCAAAATAATGATTCTACTTTGTTTATTATTTGTGGGGACCATGGGATGAAAGATTCTGGTGGTCATGGTGGTTCAACAATATCAGAAACAATTGTACCTTTTATTGCAATTGGTGGAGAATATCATCAAAATTACAATAATCCCATAGAAATATCACAAATAGATATTGCATCTACACTATCTGTTATTTTGGGATTACCAATACCACATTCTAATATAGGGACAGTTTTTTTAGATAATTTATATGATTTATCTATCTCAAAGAAATTATTTATACTTTATTATAATTCAAAACAAGTTTTTAGTCATTTTCAAAAACTAGTTGATTATGAGTCTAAATGTGAGTTATTTGATTATATTTAATTATATGTAATTTTTTTAAACAATATGATGAATTTTCTCATTATTACAGATGCATATAAAAAATATTTGGAAGCAATAAAGCTTCATAATGCTTGGTTAAATACTAAAGATCATCCAAATGACATAACAGATGATATTGTGCTTTCCTATAAAATTGCACTAAAGGAAATGAAAGAAATTCTCATAAACAGTACAATAAAATATGATTTTCAAATAATAATAATAGCTATAATTTTTCTATGTCACGTAAGAGTTAAAAATTAATTCAATATATTACTATTTTAGATTTTTTCAATAAAATAATTTAATAATTTAATAATTTCAGATTACTTGTATTTTAATAGGAAAAATATCTTTTAGATCACCTACATTAAAAAGTATTATATTTTTCATTATTTTAAATATATTTTCATGGATATTAATCAATCATTTTTGGAAACAAGAAAATATATCATTACTACATACAAAAAATCTAATTGCCAATATAATAGTATTATGTATCATAATTGTTTTAATTATACATTCTTATCTACTTGTCAATATTAGAAATTTCAATATTTTTATGTCTAAGGTGAAAGATAATTACATAAAATTATATAAAAATTTTACAGTATTTTAAAATTTCTTTTTTTAAAAATTAGAAAACAAAAAATGGAATAGGAAAATGGTTTCTTTCATTTGGAGCATTAATACATGCAATTAGTCTTGGTAGTAGTAGTTTTGTAGAAGAAGAACATCAAACATGGTATTTTTATTGGGTCACAGTTCTTATATTGCTACTTTACCATTTTATCGCGAAATATTTTTCAAAAGATTTTTTATATACACAATAGTAAGAAAAATTTTTTTAATATAAAATATTAAATTATTTAAGATATTAAACTTCCAATTGTATTTCAGTTACAAGAATTACCGACAATATATACATGCACAAATTATCATTAAACTTTTATTACTATTGATAGGACACAGAATTCTCAGGAAATTAAATAGTACTGGGGATAAATATGCTCATCTTCCTGATATAGCAGGATTTTTATTAAAACAAGAAAATATATTGAGCATGACAATTGTACTTGTTACTGGTAATTAAATTATAAATTACTATTTAAATTGTATATTAAAATCAGAGAATATATTCTGAAAATTATTTTTTCTTCAGGTCTTATACTTTTGATATGGATTGATTTTAGTCATGAAAGTAAAACACATAAAATACAATCATTAGCACTTAATTCAATAGTTAGTATATGTATTTATCTTCGTCATATGCATAATGGTAATGTTACCAAAATAGTATTTTATCCTCAAACAAGGTAAGGTTATTCCTCACATTAAAAATTTATACATATATTTAAAAATACAATCATTGATTATAGTGGAGTATACGAAGTACAAATTTTTTGGTTTTTACTCTTGATAAATTTTTCAACTTATATTTATAATATGATCCAAACAAAAAAACACAATGCCAAACTCTTTTTAAAAATTTCTTTGTATTTTATTCTAAAAACATGGATTATGATCTCAGCAATGCTTCATAAACCACACAATGTGATACTTTTACCATTTCAAATAATATTTAGCAATGTAATTTCTGAAATAATTAAAAACGGTATTTCTCAAGATGTTGGTGTGATCTTATATATCTGGATTGGCAATGTATTTTATTTTTATCAGGTAATAATCTAATAATTGCATCAAATAATTGCTATAATCAAAACAAATTTGAAATAAAAAAGTAATTTTCTATAGGGAAATTCCAATAGTTTAGCAACTATTGATGTAGCTGCAGGTTACATTGGTGTACAATCGTATATCCCATTTATTAATGGTTCATTATTGTTAATTAATACTTATTCATCTCCAGTTTTGGCCTATTTTTTGTTTATTTATTATTCGATCTTGGAGCATCCATATAAGTAAGTATTTCGAAGTTTTAAATTAATTTTTAAAAGATTTATATTAAGATATTATATTAAAGTTATACATATATTTTTAGTATTTATGAAATAGTCACACAAATTAATAAAATGTACATAATGTGGAGATTAATACCGGTGACTCTATATACAATTATAATTAGTATTCAACGCCATCATTTGTTCATATGGTCAGTATTCTCGCCGAAATTATTATATGAAGCTATATATTTTACTATTATGTGTGTTGTCGTATTTATCGTGCTAATTTTGACCACTCTACAAAAAATAATAAATAAATTGTGATTTTATATTTTTTATCGATTTCTTTATTCAAAATTCTATAAATTTTATTCTTCAATATTGATCAAATTTTAAATTAATTGATGAAAAAAAATTAAATTGATGAAAAAATATCTTTTTTTAATATTGAAAAATTTTTATAGGAAATAAAAAAAAAAATATTAAATGTAAAGGAAAAAATTTTTTTAATTTCTAATTATATTACAATCATTGTATTTTAACTGAATTCTTCAATTGTTTTTATAAAAATTCAACTATACAAAAATTTTTATTAATATGCATAAAATAGATGTTAATTTTGTAAAAATTTTTTCTTTTTTTTATAGTCGAAATTATTTATCAATCTAATGGAGCTTAGATTTGAATACTTAAATGAACTGTACACGTTTAAATTGAAATTATATGTATATCTTACAGATATGAAGTAAAATAATTATATAAAATTTATTTCCATTGAGAAATAGATTTTTTTTTTTTTAGAAAATCTATATATACTAAAATTTCGTATACTACAGTGGTCTTCAATCTTAAATATTAATTTTGAATTTTTTTATATACTATTACTAACTGCGAGTTATAATATATCACAAAATAATTTCTTTAAAACATTCACACAAAATAATGCTTGCAAATAATATAATTCTAATCATGCAAAACAGACACTCCAAAGGAAAAAGTATTCTGTATTCTATCACAAGAAAATAAATTATTTTCTATAGGAACAAAAAAATAAATATAAATACATATTTACTATAAATATGATTAGATTATTAAATCTAAATAGCAACTATATTTCATTGTTCTACAAATTTTTTTCTATATTCTTTGTTATTTAAATAATAAATTCAAAATGCTAATAAATGGTATATCCATAAAATTAAATAAATTTTCTGATTTTTTTTATACAAGATATACTAAATATATTAATAGAGGATATACTAAGTATATTAATTTCTCTAAAATATAAAATTATTTTAATATAATTATATTACATTAAATATAATATTATATATCAGAAAATTTAAAATTCAATAAGTTGAAAATTGGAAACAATAATTTGAATTAAAATTTTTTCTATAAAATATTTTAAATTAAATACATTTGCAAGCGAGTGTCGCATCATGATACATTAATTTCTAACATATAAAATATTCGTTTGTTGTTATACAAAAATATAAATACTATATCAATTTATATCGAATTATGAAAACAATTATACACATTTCAAACCTATACGGTTTTCGAGAATATTAATTTTAATTATCTCGCAAGGCTACTAAACTCGCCAGCGATATTTCATTTTAAATAGAGGATTTCTAATACTTTTTCGTAAATGTTAAACATTATACATCCATGTCCATATGAATAAATTTATATCTTAAATCGTAACATTATTATAATAGTTTAAATTACACGTTTGAATAACGTTTAATGCATTTATAAAATAAATAATTCATAAGTTAAGAATATCCAATGATTTTCATGAAATATAGCTTAATACAGTAATGGTATTATGCGAAATTTGAGTATTTTTGTTTTCTTATATACATATACATATACATATATTTATTTGGCTATATTTATATTTATATTTAGTCCTTTTTATTTAGAAGAAAAATTTTTTTAAAATGGTGAATTCATACCAAGTTTTGTACCAAATTCTAATCGTGCTCTTTTTTGATACCTCACATTTACCCTGCAAATATTAGAATAATAAATTAAATATTTATTTTTATAAAATAATACATAAAATTATATATAATATAATATATAAAACTTACTTGATTTCCTGCCATTTGATCAATTCGTTAATGGCAAAGATTAATGGTAATGAAACTAAGAAAAATAGGGGAAGATGTAAAGGAAAATCTTTTATACTTTGCCCTTCGTCTTTCCAGAATTTACAAAACACTGTTCCTGAGAATGCAGCTTGTGCGCATAATCTAAAAAATTTGATTCGAATTGAAGAAATATTTTAGATATAATATAAACACACGCATACAATTATAATTAAAATTTATGATTTATAACAAATGATTTAAAAAATTAAAATATTTTTTAAAAAATAAAAAAGTGACATGACTTTTGAATATTTATATTATATTATACTTTTATTATTATATTATATTATATTATACTTTTTGAGTTAAATATATATATCTTATATAATTTTTTTACTCACGCTATAAATGCACTGAAAAACCATACGTAATTGTTAAAGGGTTGTTTCTTCCAGATAGAATATTCTCTATGTACAAAGCTTATGGATATGGTTACTGTACGAAAAAAAAAATATTAAAGAATTCGATAATATTCATCAAAGATTTTTTCAACAAAGATTAGAAAATAAATAAGATTTACCCAAATGTAAAACTAACAGCGACAAAGCGAAATGTTGTATCACTAAAATAATGTTTGGTTTGTCACCCCAACCACCCCATGAAACTTCTCCTTGTGTATCTGGGTATATATACAAGCATTTAGAATCTGGTGTGTAAGTAGGGCACAAAGATAAAAACGAGATACATTGCGACAAAACTATCGTTATGACTGTCGGCAAAAATTTACTGCCATAACACCAAAGAACAAATAATGCAACCTGAAAAATTAAGAAAGTACTTATAAAAAATTCAAAAGAGAATTTTTCTAAATTTTTTGAATCTAAAAAATGTTTTCTCTAACAATTTATATTTTTATATAACATGAAATTTTTTAAAGAATTTTACTACTTAAAATTAATAATTATTTTTATATGGAGATAATTTTTTCAGAAAAATATAAATACAAAGTACCGATAATAAATAATGTTCCATTGTTAAATTAAGGATGATCATGCATTTATTATTTGGAATTTCAATTTTTTAAATATTTCAATATTTCTAAAATGAAAAGAAGATTCCATTTCTTCAGTTACGTTGGTAAGAATCTAATAAATTAGAATAATCATGTAATCCATTTATTATTATTATAACAATTATCCTTTCTTACCTGGCCATTTACAGTACATTGGTTTTTACCAGTTGCACGTTGCATTATGGTAGGATCCATTGGTGTAGCAATCATAGATATAGATAATATTGGAATGATTAAGCAGCACAACCATAAGACTTGATCGACCGAAAATAAAGGCGGTAGTAACAGGAAACCGGACATAGCTTGTGTGAAGGAGAGAGTAACTGTACAACAGAGCCAGAATTGCACGCAATTCCAGAGGCACATCATATAATGCCGAGCCTAAATATGCAATAAATAATGTCCAATAATTATAATAACTAAAATTTACTAATAAAACTGGAAATTGAATATATTATACAAATTCTTCTAAATGAAATCAAGTTGGTGATGGTTATAATTAAAAATTTCATGTAGTCCATTATTCACCTCCATGATTAAGTGAAAAATTGCAATTGGATCTTCTCGTTTCACGCTTAAAGAGCAAGCAACGGAATTCAATGCTCTGCTTAAATCAACTGGAGATGGACCTTGATCGTCTTTGGTTGGTGTCAATACAGGAACTCTTTGACAAACTTGTGGATACAATGGTTCTACTGCCACTCTGGAACAATATCCATATTTTTAATTGTACTTTTTCAAAATTGAGCATAGTTCAGACCAAGAATATTGTCAATTTTCGAAATAGATATATTTTATTATTATATTTTCTCGTATATTATCAATCGCATAAATACTTTTAAGTTCAATAAAATTTCCAATAGAATATTTTCTCTATATTCTTATATACTTGAACATTGCATAAAATAATTGAACATATAATACAGTTTGATACGTTCTTTATATCGATTAAACTTTTATACGAATTTATTATTCCATGCATGATTAAATTTTTATAAAAATGTATATTGTCGACGTTTCTCAACGTGCACCCGAGATTTCAAACAAATTAGAGAATTCTATATGTAAAGATGGATACTTGCAACCAAAAAGAGCTCGTTCTACGTTATATTATCAACCTTATAAGAGACCAACTTTAAAACTTGAATCAGACACGACGTATAGTTTGTCTTATTCAAAATTGAGTTTTATTCCTCAACCAAGGACCAGTTTTGCAAAATACGAGAAAATGTTAACGACGAAACCCGGAAAAATCGAATCTGATACGATATACAAGCTCTCGTATCTTCCTTCAACTACGAAAAAACGGAAACCCTTCATTCCAAGAACAAATTTGTCTATTCATGGTTATCATGATTTGACGACCATTAACAAAACGTCTTATTTAAATCCTGGATACGTAAGAACGATTTCTTTTAAACCGTATCAAGGTAAAGTTCAACAATCGATACCGATGGATTGTACAACAATAATGAAGGAATCTTATCAATATACACCTGTTAATGTCAAGAGACCACGGAAACGAGAGTTTTGGCAGACTAAGTTCAAGCCAGATTATGGAACTACGAATAAATTGTCGTATCAATATGTAGAACCGCTTAAGAAGAGAATTCGCGTATTCTACAAACCGGTTATCACCGCCAAAATTGAAAGAGACACGATTTATAATATGAGTTATCAGCTTCCAGGTCGCTGTATAACTAAATAGATTATGATAGTTTTTTTTATATTGTATGTATAATATATTTAGCAATTTTTTTTACAGAAAATTTGTTTTTTAATTGAAGAACATATGCAAATTCAAAAAACGACTCTTGCCAAATTTTAATTATTAGATTCAAAATTTGATTACATTGCTTTATGAAGATATTTTGCGACAATGTATAACAAATATGTTATTAATCAAAAATTAATTATATTTGTGTAATTTCAGGAATTATGCAATATCTCAGGAAAAAGACAAAAATCATTTTTTTTATTATAAATTCTTTCAATTATGATTAATATACTTACCCTGCATCTGCTTGCATGAAGATGGGCATATTTTCTGCGTTAGCAGAGGAACCAAGTACGCATACAACTTCTCCATAATCTTGCATAATGTGCAACATTTCCCTTGTAACAGCGGTGTTGCAATCGGTGAACAGAGATACCAAAAGGGGTACATTGTCTATTAATTCTATGTGTGGTCGAATCTTATCGATGCCTCGAGGTAGTTTTGCCTAGATACAGGATGTACAAATTAAAAATATAGGAAAGAAAAAAATTTTATCGCGGGAACTCACCCTGTTCGACAAGTCAAAATTTACAGGAGCACTTTGCTCCGTGCTGTCTGTGAGACAACTCAAAGATCGCCATGCTTCTTGTCCGGAACCCAGGTCTACACTTTGTACAAGCACGCTATCTTCGCTTCTCACTGTGTCCTGTTCCCTATATAGAGAATCGATTATTCGTTAAATACATTTACGATTATTCGTAAAGTTACGTGATCGAAATCGAAATACAAAATGAAAATCGAAATGAACGAATTAATCTACCAGAGGTATGCTGGAATCCAACGATTGGAATGGATCGGGAAGAGGCTGGGTTGGGCTGAAACCATGGTTATACTGTATTAATAAGATCTAGTCCTGAAAAACGGATTCTCGAAATTCTTGAAAATATTAAATATCTAAAATTTTGAGGATCTCAACTCTTTTAAAAACTCTGATGTTTTCGAGAATTCCAATCCTCGAAAATTCATTCCAATTATTCTGGAGAATTTTCGAGTAGATACTTTTGGGAACACAATCCAATTTATATTTTAGGATTTTTACACGTCTCAAAAATCTACCAATATATAAAGATTAAAGCATAGATAAAATAAAGAGAAAACTAAAAAAGCGAATAATGATACGAAAAAAAGATCTAGTCTCTATTTGGAAAAATATCAAGGGAGAACGAAAAATAATTACGAAACGTGTGCTGATCCTGTTCTCGTGATCCTTTGTACTAGATGACTTAGACTGCCATGCAAATTTAAAATAATATTATAGGAAAATCGAATCTCAAGGATAATTGCAAAAATAAATGATTTTCGCAAAGAAATATGTCAAATAATAAGTTTAAAGAAGGACAAACCTGTGGCTCATAGCGCTTTTAACTTGAGATGTTCCTGTGTCGTTCCATTCCGTGGTTTCATCATCGAATTTCACAGTGGAGAAATCGGTATTTATAGCGCTTGGTGCTGACATACTCATAGCACGGCTATTATCCAAATTGGTACTACAATGCAAAACAGAATCATACTATGGAAACATGATTATCTCGTGTACCGTTCATGCATGATGGGAATTCCTTGTAACACAAACACATCGATGCAGCAT